ATGCAATCTAATGCTTCAGAACTTTTTGGCATGTGCACATGTTATCAGTGAAGGAGCTAGGCTGCTCAGCAGTGAGTTTCTTCATTGTATCTTTACAGCTGGTATAGCTTAAAAAACAAACCAAGTCTGGGCTGTGAAATATTCCCCGGTACAGCTGTGGAAGCAGCATCTCCAGACTTTTGTATTTTATTTGAGTTTTTCAGTTGCAAAACCATGCACCAGTCCTGCCCAGACATGTTTGGAGAGATGATGCAGTCCCAAGTAGTTGCAATACAGTTCTAAATCCTCCAGCTCAAGTGTGCTGGCTTATATGCAGTCATTCTTCAGGCTGCCTCTTGTTCTGGTTGATCTCTGAGCCCTTGTGTCTGGGTCTGCTCGCCAGGCCCCTGTTGGACTCTGTCTGCAGTCTTTCTGTTCTGCAGCTTGCATGCTTGGGCAGGACTTGCTTTATTAAGGGACCTGCTAGTTTGCCAGGCACCCTGGTACAGCTTTAGTACATTTTTTATGAAGTCTTACTTTGGTGTGAGCTTGCATTAGTGCTTCACAAGGAACCAAGGAAGGGTGGTAGAATGCAGCACATTGTCTTGGTCTGTATAATCCTGGAATAATCTGTATAATGTTCTGAATAGAGAGGTGTAACTTCATTCACTAAAACTAATGGAGCACAACCTGCTGTTACGGCAGCACTCCTAAACGTAGTATGTGTCTTCCAGGTCACAAAATGTGAGCAAGCACTTGGCTGTGCAGCAACCTCTTGATTCAGTGCAGACTGCTACTCTATTTGGCTTCAGAGAACAAAAAGCCATTGCCAGTTTCTTTAAACTGATATCCTTCTAGTTGTCTAAATACATTTTATCACTGATCACCTAGACGATTCTGTGATTTCAAACATTGTTCCCTTAATGTCTTCACTGTGTTTCAAGATGATAAATTCTCGGGTTGTTGAGGAAGTGTCTTGGTTTCATTTGTGCTTGCTGGCAGTGGTATCTCAGCAATCAAATGCAAACACAAATACAGATGTGTACTACAGACAAAACAAATCTGAAGCAAATATTTTTTTCCTACAACTTGGTGAAAAGAAATGTATCTCTTGTGTTGTTGTAGCTTTTTTTGACACTGTTTGAATTAAGTAAAAACTGAGAATATTGCTTATAGTATGTAAGATCTCTTCCTTGTATGGCTAGTGTTTTAAATACTATCAGAAATAATAGCTGGTGTCACTATGTCATTAATTGAAGGAACATTAGAACGAAGTGCCTTCACTGAAGGACAATTTGTCAGCCAGACTCTGTTTAATGACTGTATTGATTTAGTTTAATTGCTTATGAAATTTCAAAAGACCACAACTTTAATTGATATTGAAATTAATCAAGTCAATGCAATTCAATGTCCCTGATTTAGCTAGGTTCTCAATGACTGTTCAAATCTGTAGTGGTCTGAGCAGGGGAAGGAAAGAAGAAACTGTCAAATGTTTTCAGTCAGGACTGTGCTCAGAAAAGGGGAATGGTGTGGACAGAGAAAGGAAGAAGTGTAGCAGAGGAACTTATCTGTGTTGACGTGCATGCTTAAGATAGACAATCAAGGTGATGAGAAAGTAGTCATGTGTATTGCTTAGAGGAAGGTCTGAGTGGCAGAGGACTCTTGTAGATGTCTGATATTCTGGTAATGGGGCGAAGAGGGAGAACTGAAGAGTAACTTTGCATCCCAGCTTGGCCCTGTCTAGATAGGGATTCCCATTTCTGTAAGGAATGGCAGCATGGCTCCATCTGAGTTGGTCTGTCCACTCCTTGGAATAATCTTTGCGTTTAATAGTAAAGGCATGGCAGTCAAATGTGGGGGTTTTGAAGAGCTTATTTGGTGTATCCCAGGTAGTTAGTACAGCAGTCGTTGTTGGTCACCTCACTGTCTTTGTTCGCAGTGCCTACTCCCACCTTCATCTAGCCATAAGAACATCCATACGGAACATCGCTTCCAGCTGCAGGAGTATTTGTAAGGTCTGCAATTCTGCTTCTTGCCATTTAATGATTCCTGCCATCTAATGGTTCCTAAAAGAGGCTTGGCTCACTGTTGTTGGTATCAAGGATGTGGGTCTATATGGTCTGTAATAAACTTGCTGGGTTGTAATTGTCATTTTTCCTGCTTCTGAGTGGGTATGTCCTGTAGCTGGCATTTCGGTACTGTTGCTTTGTGCAAGTGAATCTTAAACCTTTCTTCCAGGGGGAGCTTGAATCCTTTCTACATTGATTTCTGTTTAGTGCTTTTCTGTGTTTCTGAGTCAATAATCAATTCATGAAAATGTGGAGAGCAAAACCAAACTGTTTGGAGTTATTGAAAAGGCATTACTGGATTAGAACTCTATGGAGTGTGTAAAGTATTTGCTGAGTTGTTGTATGCCTCATTTATTGATTTGTTTTCTTCCTTATGCTTTGCTGATTCCATAATTCTGTTAAATAGATGAGCACTAAGAATATATATATCTACCATTAAGAACAAGGGGCTTGATGTACTGAATCGGATTATCAAAGTAGGTATTTGATCCAAGTACTATGAGATACCAGCTCCTTTAAAGACAGGCTGTACTCATCTGTAAACTTTCTTCTGACCTCTCTATGCAATTATTTTATTCCATGAAGCATGCAATATAAACGTCAATGCTGTTAATAGCCATAAATAATTCCTCCTCCTAAAAATTTCTGTCTGGTCTGTGTTGTTGACTTACAGATGAGGTTGCTAACTATCTCCATAATGAAATAAACTATTACAGTCACGACTAGAAGCTCTAAGGAAATGAAAAGCTAAGACAGCATGAAGAATTAACAGCCATAGCAATTGACTAACGTGTGGTGCTGCTTAAAATAAAAGTATAAGGATAAACATCCTCTAGTGTCTGATCACGAAAGCCTCAACTCTTCCCTATAATAAATTGTTACTGGTCAGGGCTGTGCAAGTAAACCCAAAGGATGCGTGAAGGAAGGCTCACTTTGGGTTATGCCAATGCTAGGTGATGTCTTCTGTGAGGTCTCTGTCAATATAGATGCTATAATAAAGGTAGTTTGTTTCCAGTTAAATCTAATAAATCTGATTTGTGTTGGGTAGGAGTGGGAGAGTAGGAGAGGGTTTATATAACTGTATGCAGACAGGGAGTTTGGAAACTACTGGGAATCACACACTTGATCTGGAAGATGCTGAGGTGCTGTAGTGTGGAGGTGACTGAAGTGCTTCCTGAAGTATAGATTTTGGTGGTATTAGACTAATTAGGTTAATTTCTAAGACCTCTTCCAAGAAACATAGTTCCATTTGGAAGAGCAAATTATTGGGATATTTGTAATAACGTATGTTGTAACATGAATGTGGAAAGGAACCGGAGACTGTCACAGATAACAGCTTGGTCCTTGCTGTAAAACATGGCCTGGGATGAGGAAAAGGCCGTTCCTTCAACTAAGTCCTTATATACCTCTGTAGTAGAGATTTAAATGTGAAGTCTGCTTTTTACTGTACATGCACGAAATGGGATCCTCTCTTTCTTGAGAGTGATGGGGGGTAGCAGGCAAAGTTGTACGTGGTACTTCTGTAATCATCTGCTAGAGGGCACTGTGTTGCCAGAAAGGGATGTATGAAGGCATGAAGATTTCAGTTAGCTTCGTGGAAGGCAAGCGATTCCTTACATACTTTGCTAGAATGAAAAGTCCTGTCAGAGCTAAGACTATAGTGAGTAAACTTCATAAGAATACGCCCAGATACGTCAGAGCTATATATTTTACATATATATAAATATATATATGTAAAAATAAGTGTTTGGGGAGTACTGGGTTACTTGAGCAAATACAAAGTTTGCTGGTAGATCTCACTAATGTGGAACTAATGCTTTATGTGAGTTCAGCTTAAATTCAGCAAATTATTTTAGCCAAAAATAAGGGAAAGATAACTCTGAAAAAGCTGTAACTCTCTATCAGCATGTCTTACATCATTTCAACATTTTAATTAATTTTTAGAGTCCAGCTGAAAACAAACTTCTTACAGTAGGGTTCAACCTATAGCTTTCTTGATTGAGGCATGAGACAAATTTTATTGTAGTGGAACTCACCCTAGGAACTTAGAGAAATGGAAAAAATCTGCATGTCAGACAAGGTTTCCCACTGAGTTTTACACTTTAAAAAAAAAAAGTGATGCCCTCTTCCTATAAAACTGGAAAGCTGTCAGAGGACAGGCTGACCTCCTGTGGGGTGGTTACAGGAGAGGTGAGCAGACTTGCTCTAATGAAGGGAAATGACCTCAGATAGTAAATAACTTTTTTTTATAAGATACTTAATAACTTCATAAATTCAAAGGAAGTAGAAATGGAAAAGACCTATGAGATCATGTAACCTCTCTATGCTAGAGGGCTCACTTCTTACATGCAGTATCTGATTATCTGCTACTCCAGACTAGATTTGTCCCTTTTTTAAAATTTCCATTGTGTTTTTTCTGCTTCAAAGTTGGAAAGCTCAAAAGGCTCAGGTGACTTGAATCATACTGTATAGCTATGTTACCTCTATGTGCCTATTCCATTTTTGAGTCATTCTCAGTTCTGACTTTATCAGTGTGCGTTTGTTTCCTCCTGTGGCAGCTGGTGTCACTGACCAACCAACTCAGTGGCAGTAAGAATATTTCATTTTAGTATCTCCTGTTCTCTTTTCTGTACTCTCCTCACCATATCTGCACATCCTCTTCTTTTGGATAGAGCAACATCGTTGTTCCCATGTACAGCTGGGGGCAAGTAATGACTTGCCATGAAGGAAGACGGAGTAGGAGCAGTGGAGGTACTGTGCTGCCTATAAGATTGTTGCAGTGAGCAGTACCAAAAGGTTGATGTTTGACTTGTTTTGCTGTCACTAACTTGAATGTACACCCTTAAAAGCAAATTCCTGCTGAAAGAAGGAGAGTGCAAGTAGTGGTCTGTTCTCTTGGTTTGTTCTCATCCTTATTTCATTATTTTACTTTCTCTGTAATTGTTTTTTCAGCCCGATCAAAGAGTTTGGTGATGGGTGAACAGATTGGGCCTCCCTCCAGACCTTCCTCTCCCAACCCTCAAGAACGTGTGCTGAAGTGTGGCTGGCTGAAGAAACAGAGGAGCATTATGAAGAACTGGCAGCAGCGGTGGTTTGTGCTGCGTGGGGACCAGCTCTTTTATTATAAGGACGAGGAAGAAACTAAACCTCAGGTAAGACTATTTTTAGAACTGTACAGTGTATTGGGCTGTGACTTTATGTGGGTCACAGTCGGTACTTTTGTTTGAGACCTCAGTTCAGTTGTTCTTAGCACTGAGAATGCTCAAAGCAAGAGATGTTGCAAGGAGACCTAGTTACCACATGGATAAGTTGCAGAGTTTGGGAGAACATCAGAAGTTATTTATTTACCTACTGTGGCATGCTGAGCAACTCTAAAACAAATTACCTCTACCTGTTGTTAACTATTTGCCAGGTAACCAGTCAAAACTTTCATTACTATATACATCTCACCAGATACAAGGCAAGGTGTTAAGTATAAGGCATCACTTACACAGTACACTGTTAGTATTTCAGGGAGGCTAGTTTAGTAAGAGCATAGTTATGTGAGAGAAAGGTAGGAATTGTAAGCTGTAAATATGAAAAAGAAATTGCTGTCACTGTCAGGTGTAATTGGAAAGGTATAAAGTGGATGGAGCCCAGAAGTGAAGGAATAACATTTTTCTAGGTTGTGCTATTGAGAAGAGGGTTGAAGACAAGTGGTGAGTGTGTAAGTAAGACGAAAGACAGGATTGCCATAACCCTGTTTTATTTAGTGGAATAATGCTGTAAATGGCTTGAAGTAGCCAAGCTTGGGCAGCCCTTATCTTTGACCATGAGCAATTGCTGGAAGCTGCTACCGTCTTCTCCTGCTGAAGCTTTTTCTGGCTCCCTGAGACTTCTTTCCTGACCCACTGCAGTCCTTCAGTTCTTGTCTGCTGTTGGAGAAAGATCTGAACAAAGCTCAGTACTGAGCTAAATATTATTTTATCGTATGTAATGGTTATTTTTGCAATATAAGGTCTATCGAAGCTTATATGTTCCATGCAAGTGAGGAGAGCATCTAGCAGTTAGAAGATGTGGCAGCTTTGCAGTAGCAAATATGGAATGGTTTGTCATATTAACTCTTCTTATCTGCTGGACAGCATTGAGCCCCCTAACACCCTTTTCTTAAGGCTGTATCTAGTACTTCATCTGTAATCATTTCATAAATTTGTTATCTGTATGTATAGTGTCTCTCTAAATCTTTGTTTTTATACTCAGCTGCTTTCTGCAGCAACATACATGTATTCCACTGGCTGTCTGTCTGCCATTGGTTAAGAGTTGTCCTGTCTCTTTCTCCACTCCCACTGTGCACGATGTTCCCCCCAAAACTGGTCAAAATTTGATCTAGAAGCCAGTACCACTTTGGTTCAGCTGTCACCAGACTTACAACTTTTGAAGCACAGCATGAATTCCTGACCAGTATCAAGAGCAGAAGGGTGGAGTGAAGTAGCCTGGACAACTTTTCTCTATGTAGCTGGGCTGTATTTCTCTATTTCATAAGGCAGTGGCACTCTTGGTTTTGCATATGATGTTATTGACCTGTTCCTTTCCAGGAGGCTTTGCATAGTCCTCTGAGTTGGAATGTGAAGTCTGCTTTCCTAAAGGTGCTGCCTTGCCTCTCAGGTTGTTGTTGACTTGCAAGGGAAACAGGAGCTGGAATCAGGTGCTTTGCAGCCTTACTGAGAAAATTGCAAAGTAGGCCAGTTTAATGGCACAATGTTCGCTAACCTACAGTATTTGCATTGTCACAGTCCTCTCAACACAATAAATGTTTCAAATTCCACTTGTTAGAATTGTATCTTCTGGCAAGCCCATGAATGCAAATGCTGCACCACAACAATCTGTGTGAGGAAAAAAGTGTACTTCATGAGCAGCCATTTAACCTGTTCACTCTTCTCTACTTTCGATTCACCTAAGCCAGTTCTCTGTTGAAAAAGCACCGATGTGAAAATAGTTTTTCTTTGTCCTAGACTGACCTCCAAATCTTTGTATGGTCATCTGTGAGGCTGGAGTTTGACATCAAGAGCTATAGTGTTCTAGATTGCTGAGGCAAGAGTGAAGAGCCTTGCTTAGTCAGCTGGGCCTCACTATTTCCCAAGTAATCCATTGTTAAGCAGAGTGAGGTGAGCCAGCTGCTTAGGGCTAGCCTGTGTGGGCAGAGTGTGTGGGTTTTGTATGCCAGCATGCAGGACTTGAGAGTGGGCTGTAATGTGTTTTAGCGTGTTTTATCTACACGTGGGAGTTACTGCTGTTCTATGCAAATTTTGAGGGGAAGAAATTTAGGCAAGGATTTGTGCTGTCTGTGTCTGGAAGGAGGAGTGTGTATCTGTCAGCAAAAATTAATTTAGCAAGCTGGGGAACAATTTGACCTTCTTTTAGGGGGAGGGAGGCCATGGGAGGCAGGCTTCTGTTTCTCCAATTTTGCTGGCTCACAAGTATCACAATTCAGTGACCTTGAGTTCTGCAGACAGTATGTCACAAGGACTGAAGATATGTAGAGGCTCGTGTTGGTCCTCTCCCTTTTTTGGTTCCTCCACCGGATCATGACACAGCTTGTACTGTTCCTGTTCTGGGCCAATTTGATATCTCAGTGGTATGTCTGGTAGCCACATGCTTGTCATGTTCTTCCTTCTCTCTTCTGTCATGATCTCCTGGTTTTGCTCGCTCTTGCGCCATTTTCCTCTGTCTGCGTAGCATTGTCAGCTGCTTCTGGATTTTTAGCCTGGTTGGTTGATGATTTGACAAGCAAGGGTATGCAAGCATAAGGCAGTTCTTGCAGAGTACGACCTGTACCTCCTTGGATATTTGAGTATGGCTCAGAGCTCCTAAGCCCGGTCTCCCCAGCTTGCTAAAACTGTTCTTTAGTGCTGCATGGTTTTTGTACTTCAATTCTAGAAATGGTGGATGTCTTGTATAGTTTTTTCTATGTCCTGCTGATTGAGAGATTTCTGCAGGGATCCTTATCTTCCTACAGATGTCAGACATATCTGGCATATCTCTGAACTCCCATGAAACTCTTGACAGCAGTCTCTAGTCGTCTTTAACAGTTCTGCATATGTGAAAGCCTTAGTCTTGATAGATGACTATTATACCCTAAAATGACTTAAAATCTCTCCTTATGTTGTGCAAGCAGCTGCTAACAAATCACTCATGTTTAAAGCTTTTCTACATGATGCTGTTTCTACTAAAACACAGGACTGATTTTTTCCAGCACAGGAGTGTGGGTGTGGTTGTATGTATATATGTGTTTATATAAGTCTCTGATAATTCTGAAGGCCCTAAATAACATCTAAGATGAGCCCCTCCCAGGTTAAGATCACAGCTGCATGTAAAGTGGTTTGGGCTCTCCCTGGTTCAGTTCACGGCAGTTTAAAATACAGTATTTCTCTCTTGCAAATCTCTGCAGCTCTTGGACTAATGCAGGAGAAGGTTAACTGTCACCTGCAAAGCAGAGTAAACCGTGCACAGCGGTGTTGACAATGATTGATCCTTGCTTGACTCCTCTTGTATCAAATAAACATCCTGAAGATACCTTAAGAGGAATAGGTTAGTTGATCACTAGTCAAATGTCCTAGAAATTATTCTGTGCTCCTTTGGAAGATAGCATCAAGGGAGTTGATGGGGAATCTTTACTTGAAGTCTTCTTTTGCAAAATGACTGATTTTAAAAAATGGCTCTCATCTATAGTTATGGTTACTGGTTCTGTATCTAGGTCTACCCAAGCATCAGAGTTTGAGACCAGATACACCAAACTAATTTCTCTGTTATACATGAAGGGAAAATGAATATTTGCTGAGAAGGACCTAAGAAGACCTGTCATTTTGTTCTTGCACCATGGTAGAATGCAGAAAGCAATGAATTTTGTGCTACTGTGTATTCTGACTTAAGAAATGACAGCCATTTTCCCTAAATGTTGGTGCAGCATGTTGCTATTGCTGTTCTGATATACTAGTAGTGCAACAAGAAAGCGGAGTACGTTTTTTAGAGGTGGGTTGCATTTCCTTTTCTCTGGAGCTCAGAGAATCAGAAGAAACTGACAAAAAATCATGTAGAACAGATGAGCGTTGCCCCTGTGAAGAATTTTGTTGGGTAAAGATGCCCAGGATATAGCAGCAGAGGTAGTGTATTGCTTTTATTGATCTACAATAAGATTTGCATAGACTTCAGTGAATGTCGTTGAAGATTGCTAAAGAATTTAACACTTGAAGCTGCTATAAAGATCTCCACAATAAACATTTGTGCTCAGTACTCCCATTGATTAAGTGCAGGGGAAGGGGCTTCTCTAACATGTTGAGATACTCTTTGCTGAAATCACTGTTTTTTTTCTTCTTATAAAGCAGACATTAGAGTGGCTGCATGCTTAAATTTCTCTTTCGTGAGCTGATATGAAGGGGAGGGTATGGTTTCTTTGCTGTTCTTGGTCTAAATGCTGCTTTGTTTTTTGGTTGCTTGTGCAGTATCTATTACACAGGAACTATGGCTGAGGCTTTCAGCTGCTGCACCAGTGTAAAAGCCTTGCTGGTCTTTGCTCAGGGTGCCTTGATTTGAAGCATTGGCTGGTGCAACTGGTTTCATTTTCCTGAATGAATATTGTGCTTTTCAGAAAGAATTTTGAGTTGTCCCAGGGATTTCCCATCTCTGGCTGAGTTACTGTCTCAGAGCTCAAAGAAAGAAATGATCTCAGGCAAGAAAGAAAGCCTCCTTTGACCATGGAATAAGAAAAGCTTTCAGGACCTCACTGTATCATCACTGGAGACTAAACTTCTTGATGTTACGTGGTGTAAGATGGTATATAGTGGGCATAAGACTAATAAATATTAGTGTAAGAGTATAAAAGAAGTTCTTAATTATGCATTTAAATGGCTGCTTTTACAGTATTAAGTTGGATGGTACAAGTAGAGGTGTACTACAAATGAGTGTCCTTTCAAAAGAAAAAAGAAAGCAGTAGGATAGCTAGAAGAAGGGAGTATGATGGTGATCTCTTCTCTTTGAAAGCTCTTCAACTAGCTGTTAGGAGAATTAATAACAATTAAATGATAATTGAATAAATCAAACCATAGTAGGACTACTTAAAATGTTTAGGTCAGCTGTATCAGTTTGCCCATAGGACAGCAGATATGTGCAATAAAAT